CGTGTGCGTGTGCGTGTGCGTGTGTCCGTATTGCGCAGGGTTGTAGGTCTGTCTTTTCGCGAGGTTCATGTCACTCCGGCAGCAGCATCTGCGAGCAACCTGGTTAGCTGTCATTGTGGGCGGACATTTTATGGCAGGAACTGGCATTGCCCCCATGCGCGCGTACTGCCGCTACCTCTTCAACGACAAGGTGCCCCGGCTGACCCGTGAACCACGCTGAGGCTCTAAGCCCTGTGATGTGCTCCCGTCGGTCTTCTGTAAACTGCGCTGCTTCCGGAGACTTCATCTCATCCATGCTGAGTCTTCATAAAGCTTCCGGAAAGACCACATGCCTCGCCTGGAGTGTCCGAATGTGAGCGCCGAAAGCTTCCGAAATTCTTCATGTTCGATCCCCCTGGCTTCGAAGAAGGTGGCCGCTGAGGGCGACGGTCGGAAGTTCAAGGGCCTGGCTTGGCTCTTCATGGGCGTGCCTACGGCTTTATGGTAAGATCAAGATGTTGCCTGTAGCTGGATCAGGCTCAGGTCAGATGAGGGTCTCACAGCTTGCTTGAACGTTGTCTTTCCGTAGTTTGCTTGAAGGGCAAAGTACTGCATGAGACCATGTGGTCCCGTGCTGATTTTTGGCGTGGTGCGACAGCTTTGTAGGATGCACCCAGCAACTAAAATAACTATGATTGGCACGCCAGGATCTTGAGGATCTTGCGTGAGGAAGACCTCCTGCATCCTCGAGGTAGCGAGCTTAAACCTGATTGGGCTTGCTGAGGTGCCCTACAGCAAGTCGTTGCTCTATGATGACGAGCACCAGGAACTAGCCTTTGGTTGAAGGGCTCACTTTATGGCTTTGGGTCTGTGGAGTTCTTGACGCTTGCAATTTGGAGGTGGGGTCCCGCAGTCTAGCTCTGTTCTTTGTTGCTTTCGCTGCTCCTGCAGGCCTAGCAGTCATGCGAAGCTGCTTTCGACAAAGGTTACAAATCAACAGTAAACCACACTCAGTATTATGAGCCATGATGAGATGAACATGGGGCTACCCTCGGCGCCACATCAATTCTGATCCAGGAGTACGTCTCCAAGTACCCGGACCAGTTCCGCTACGACTACGCCATCAGCCGCGAGCAGACGAATGCCGCAGGACAGAAGATGTACATCCAGACGAAGATGGCTGAGCCGCTTGCCTCAAAGACAGACTTTCTCCCACGGCATTCTTTGCAGAAGGATGCTGACGATTGTGTTTACGATTGTCACTCACAGTGGCCTACGTGGTGGTGAGACTAGCAGCCATGTTATGCTTTGGGGTTTCTGAGCCCAGTGAATCTTCTCTGCACTGCGCCAAGGTATGCCGAGGAGCTATGGGAGCTGATGCAGGACGAAAAGACCCACATTTACATGCGCCTTCGGCGCATGACAAGCTGGTTTGGAAAAGGGAGAGTTGCCATGACGGCAAGGCGAAGGTTATCAGCATCCGCAGTGTGAGACTGTCGATCACACGACCCTGCTGCTAATCTGCGTCAATGATGCCCCAAATTGCCAAATTACTGTGTGTTTTGTCGAATCCCAACCCCTTGCCAGCCTCGACGCGATGTTCAAAGGTGCGGCCTGAAGGGCATGGAGTCTGGCATGGCAGAGTGCTTCACCCCGATTGCGGAGAAGTATGGCAAGGAGTGCTTGCACTGCTTGCAGGCTTTGCGGTCTCTGGAACTGGAAGTGGGCCTGTTTGCATGTGACCATCAACGGGCACACCCCGCAAAGGCTTTGTGGGCTTGGCAGATGCCTTGGTAGGGGTTCCAGGTTCAGGATCTCAGAGGGTACCACAGAACCTTGCAGCTCCCGCCCTGTCTAGTTGAGGGCAGCAGCGGTGCTTCGTTTCAGTCGTGAAACAGCTTGCAGATAATGTGTCTTGAGCTTCTCCCTTTCTCGTATTGGCTCGTGGTGCTTTGCTTGGTTTCCTGTTCCACGACAGGGCTGGGTCGCAGAAAGATCGCACGGACCACCTCCACGCAGAAGTTGACCACCAAAAGAAGTCAAAGACTTTTCGTCTGGCAGGACTGGGCCGAGTTCGCCAAGGCCATGAAGAAAGCCGACCGCTACCACGTCGAGGTCTACTAGAGACCGAAGCCTGCGAGCCTGCGAGCCTGCGCTTGCGCGATCACAGCCGGGGCTCCTGGGGTCACGGGTTTTCCTCCAAGCGTTGCTAGAGCCTGGGCGGTCGAAACCAGTCCCAAAGTCTTGGAGCCCCGAGCCTGCCAATCTGGTTGCTTTTCTCCCCCGGTCGCGACCACTTCAGAATTTGGAAAGTGGGTGACCGCGACCGTGTGGTTTCTCCAACACCCTGGAACGACAGCATGCGAAGGAGGAATGACTTCCTTTGCGATAAGTGTAGAAGTATCGCAGTGGTTGGAAAAGCCAAAAAACCCGAACAGGTTTTCTCAGCTGTTCAGACGCTCTCCTGATCTCGAGGGGTGTGCCATATGTCCGGCCTGCTCCATGCCTCGTAAAACATGTTCAGTCAGACCATTGGTGGGCCGGAACATGTGAAGCACACTGTCGCCCTCGGACGCGGAGTGGAAAGAGTTGCAAAAGCTCCAGCCTGCTCAGTTTTCAGAGCTCCGAGCCCTGGCGCATGTTTATGCTTTTGGCCTGGGCCGTGCAGCATGAGATCATCACGGTCCTGTGCGTCCTATCCACAATGTATGGCAGGGGCAGGCAGCCAGCAACGTGGCCTGAGGCGTGGGAGTGAAGGGAGTGAAGGGACCACCATTGTGCCTTGTTGCATCATGCCAGGGCGTGACCTGCACACGTTGACACATCGACCGAACTTTGTGGGGCGAACTAGTGCGAAGAAGAACTCTGCCTGGCCGAACAACTCAGCTGGAAGCGCACCCCTCAAGCTATCCCGTTTTTGGACTGGACGGAGTACCAAATCGGATGCACATGTGATTCTTGGTTCAGGAGCTTATCAATCAGCTGGTCGCATCCATCCGTGACCTTCCTTTCTTTGAGGCCTGCAGCGTGAGGTTGATGTTGTTGCCGGGCTCGCCGGCAAGCTTCAACGCAAAAGAAGCACCAAAGTCCTCCATCACCAGCAGCAACCACATCGACACCAACTGCAGCATACTCCAGCAACAACACCAGTAGCAAGGGAAGTCGCAGAAGGATGAGAACGACTTCGCCATGCAGACCATCCCTCAGCTTCCTCATTTTCTAAAACCGATTCTAACCCCTCACCTTGAGCTGGGAAGGGCTTTAGCCCTGATCAGGACTTCGCTTTGCCGCAGCTCCGGGGTTTGGCCCGGGGCCTCCGCTTCCAGAGCGCCAAGAACGGCCCGGGGCCCGTCAAAAGCCTGCGGCCTGTCAGGACTCATCCCCAGCTTCAGGGCTTGATCCCTTTCAACTGAGAGCAAGAGCATGCAAAAGGACTGTTGTCCTTTTATTGATTTTCCCAGTCTGCTCTGATGAGGCGAGGCGCTGCCGCGGCCTCTCCACCTGCCGGCCAGACTTGGGAGTCACCCAAACCCCAACAAAGTTTTGAGAGCTCTGTTGACCTGTACAACTGGATACATCTGTATGCTGTATCCGCAGTCTCACGAGTGCAAGGGCAAAGACCGAGAGCTGAGACTCAGGACGCGCACCTTATTCGGAAGCCCACACGCCTGTCGCAGAGCAGAGCCGTGTCTGCCCGTTTTGACAGCCCACGGTCGAGCCGGAGCCGCCCTCCCTGGTGGTCCTCTGGGCAGGCCAGCTCTCGAGCAGAGAGGTGTTGCTTCGAACCATGTAGTTGTGGGTTGGGGCTCAAGGACAAAGGCGGGGGGTTGCCTCGTTGAGTGCGAAAGACGCGTGCACGAGAAATCTCAAAGACAAGTTGCATGGATGTGCGGTTTCAGGCAAAGCAGGCCGCGGCCTAAGAAAGATGTGGGGATGTTGTCCGCCTCAGCGGACGTTGACATCGTGTTTGCGCCATGTTGTCCTCCGTCACCAGACAACGAATATGCTGAACGTGAGAGTGTACTCAGCCGTGAAGTCACAACTGCGCAGCTTCGCGCTCCTGCCCAACGAGCCAAGACAACACGTGGTGTGCAGAACCTGGAGCAAACGGAACTCCAAGCCGCACCAGCCCAAGGCAAGTACCGTCGTGTTTCGGCCGGTGGAGATGACCTCATTGCAGCGCAGCGGCGCGGCGGAAAATTATCATCGGGCCGTCTTCTGCCTTGAGGTGTCATTCGGGGTTTGAGCACGAAGAATTCTATTCTGAGCTATCTGTGTTGGAGAACCACCGCAGCACGCTCAGCTCCGCTCGCCCAGGATCGATTTGCTGGCAGTGGAGCAAGGCGCATAGCGGGAGGAGGGAAAGCCAAGGGAGGTCAAGCATAGATGCCGTTTGTCGTTGGACTTTGCATGCCAATGCTCGATTTAGCTAACTGTCCGAAGGTTTCTTTTTTGGTAGAAACTCCTCGACATCTTGCTCACCTTGAGTTCGCGGAGGTGCCAGGAAGACGCAGAAGACCGGCACGCCCAATGCTCGGAAGGAACGCACAGTGAGCTCCGATCCTGATTGCCTCATCGCAATGCGTGCTGAGGTTGGTTTCGCCTTCCCCAGGCGAAAAGGCTGAAAAGAAGGAGACTGCAGACCTGAAGCCCTGAAGCTGAGCAAGAGGAAGGCTGTGTTATAGGACTTCCAAGTTTGCAGATCGTAGGCCAGAGGGATTTCGCGAGCTGGATTCCTCTTGAATGATGCAACTGGTTTGATCCCAGTTATGCATCCTGTTGGGCTTGCGATACGCCCCACCAGACCTGAAAGGCTTTAGTCATTTAGCGCAAGGCCTCTGGATCCAATAGTTTCTGACTCTGACCTCAAGATTCGTTTATTTTGCGTGCAAGGACGGAATGCTCCACGACCTCGTCCCGGACCTGCTGGATGATGAGGTGCCGCTCGGCGGCACGGAGCCAGGGGCAAGTGGCTTACTTTTTTGGTTCGAACGATATCATGCTAAGGAAGCCCGACAAGGAGGATGGAAAGATCTACCTGAAGCGCTACGGCGACCTGCAAAAAGGCACGTCTGCAGCGGTGCTGTAGAGGTGTTCCTGACGTGACACACGCCGAATTTGTGTTTGAAGGCGGTTGAGGAGTCAAAGGTGCACTTGAGATTTGGACGGCGATTGGAGTTTCGCACTTGCAGGGGTTTGTGCAACTTAGGTGGGGCGCATGAATCCGTGCAGGCTTCGTGCTCGGCCAGCGTGACATCGTCGACCCGGGAGGCCACCGGTGACTTTGTCAGTCGCTGTCAGTCCGATGGTGACGAGGACGACTGGGGCCTTAGTGGAGGGCCAAAGTTTTGCTTGGAGGCGTTAAGTGCGTCTTGTTGGGAGGTGTTCGTCCAAGTTTGTCACAGCCTGGGTGCATCTCACATGCAGCCTCCTCGGGTTGGAGCTTCCGCAGGGCCCGCCATGCACGAGCCCACAGTGCGATGCGAGGGCCGCTGCAAGGCCTCGCTTGTGTTTTGGGAGGGTTTCGGTGAGGGCTGGAAAAAATCACCGGGCTCCGTTTATCTCCGTTTGCTGCACGGACGACACACATGGCCTGTGTGTTGCAGTCTCCTCCCTCAATCCTGTGAGATTCTGCGCTTGACGCGGCGCGATTATCTCCATTGCCTCAAGGAGATGCAGGCAGGACCTGCGAATGCTGCAGTATGGGCCCCTCTCAGTGGTGCCGCGTGAGCATCAGTGAAGTCCGGTGCTGGAGGTCGAGAAGCACCGAATCGTGCACGCGCTGCGCAACATCCCTCCCTCCAGGCCGGGGAGCCTCCTGCGGAAGCTTGGATTTGGGCTAAGGCTAAGGCTCAGGGTTTCAGAGTTTGAGGCAGTTTAATACAACAATTTTTAATTCCTTGCGAGAGACGAAGAGGAGGCATCAGGCGACGAAAGTTGAATTCTGCATGTGCATGAGCCTCTCTGAAGCAAGCCTAGATGTCAGGCTCAAGGCTCCAAGTCTCGCAGGGCATATTTCCGAAATTCCGTTTTTGCCCACTTCGACGTGAGTCTCTGTGCTGAAGACGACAAGAGCTTGGTACCTAAGAGCCAAGCCTGGCTATGCCTGGCTTGCCTTGTACAAGACAGCTTTGAATGCAAAAGGAAGCAGAACAAGGCATAAAGACGCTTGAACCGCGCAAGGCCGGGGGAGCCCCATCACCGCTCTGAGGAGCAGAAGACGGTCGCGAAGAGACGTGAGCTACAAGAACAACACTAGCTTCAATAAATAGTATCAGCATGTAGCAATGATGGTTGTGGTCAGGAAGGTCACGGATATGGTTACCGTTCTGTGCTTAGTAGGTGCATCAAACTATTTTGGTGTTGGTTGTTCAGCTGTCGTGGTTGGGTTTGTATTTAAGCCTATGTAAGCTTATTACTGGGTTGGGGAAGCCGTTGGATTCGATGCCTTCTCCCTATCCACGCCAGCCTTTGCCGGCTTTGAGGCCTTTCAGCATGTCTTGTGTTGACGCTTAAAATTCTCGGTCAACGCTACTTCAGACTTAGTTGCCGCGGTCTTCTTCTGTGTCGAAATAACGTCCAGCGGTGCCGGCATTGACAACAACAGCGCCTGGGGACAGCAGCAGCAACTAGCAAAGCCAGACCCAAAAAGTTGCAAAACAAAGTAAAAGCAGCCTTGTCCATGTGTCCCACGGTGCGCAGAAGAAGTTCTTCCCGCCCGCGAGATGTCCCTAGTCCGGCACGTCAACTGGGGCTCTCGGTGCTTGCTGTTGCTGTTTGTGCTCTCTTTCGGATCCCTTTCGACATAAGTCCGGAACCTGGCGCACGTTAACGTTCATGCCAGCAGTCTCTGAGTGTCCACATGGTTGTCTGGGAGATGGTTCCGGGCTTGGAATAGGGCAAGAGGGCTTGAAATATTGCTTTGTCAGGACCGGCGAAATAGTCCGTGAATCCAGTGGTACTTCGAATTTCTCAGCAGCCCAACTCAAAGAACCAAAGAGCTTCTGAAGCAGAGTCCTGTAAATGCTTAACACTACAAGTCACTACAATACCTACAATCCAAAGCCACCTCCTCGGCACCCTCATTCCGGCAACTTGCCCGGTGGCTTCGATGTTGGGTGTTCCAACTCCGCACACACCGCTGGAAATTTTGCACGCTCCTAAGCTCTTGAATCTCAAACACTTGCAAGGCTTGCGAGCCATGACGGCAGGAGCAGCTGTCCCTCCTGGCCAAGCTGGTGAGGAACACTCCCGAGCTGAAGAACTTCGAGAGGCCCACGGAAGGATCAGAGTTTAGGGGGCCCGCTATTTGCTTCGCCACGGCTGATCACTGTTGTTTTGGCCGAAACCTCCAATCCGAAAAAACATGTGCACCAGAGCCGACAAGCGCAGGCCGACGTTGATGCAAGTCCTCGGCCGAGTACCAAGATGGCATGGCAGTCAGGGCAATCGGAGTGCTCACCGAGGGAACATCCCAATAAGATGCCTTCACAGCACGTGCTGTGGCCGAAAGTCGCCGGCGTTTCCAGGTGCGGCTACATATGTCAACGCCGGCAAAGGCCACGCCGGAGCCCCAGGTCGTGGTCCAAACAGGATTCGGGAGGGATGATGCCAGGATCCCAAAGATGTCCCTACTGTCAACTGTGACACTTGCCTGACGGCACAGACTGACCGGAGTTCCCCTGGCTCGGCCGACAAGACGGCATCTCCCGCAGTAAATCCAAATCTTAGGGAGATGCTCCTCGGAATGCAGCAGATCATGGCTTGGTCCATCCAGCTCTGCGTCTGGCACCACTCAAACAACCCAACACTCGCAGCTTCAATTTCGGCGGTCTTGCTGACCTTGTCCAACTTGCGTGTCTCCATGGCCACGCCAATCCAGCCTATGCTGGCACTGAGCATGAGAACCGACGCAGATTGCAATCTTTCCCGAGCTTTCCTAGAGGCACCCCGGAAGTTTCATAAGATATGAGTGGTTTCCCGTCCCGCGAATTCCGTCATCTGCTCACGGGAGAAGGGGCCGAGGAGTCGGGGCTTGTTGTTGTTGGCTCCATCAGGTTCTGTGCAAGCAGGGGGAGATCGGAGACCAGTTCTACGCCATCATCGAGTCTCGGACAGAACAGAGTCGTAGATACACTGGACCCGAATGTCGGCTACCGAACTGGAGCTGGCAATGAGGTCATCACAAATCCTGAAGAATACCTGCCAGTCTGCAGGAGGGTCAATTGAAACACATCGAGACGCTCTCCAGGTCGAGTGATTCACGGTAGAAGATAGACTTGGCTGTTTTGAGGCGAGGAGAAGGGAACCATAAGCCGAAATCTGCACCGGCATTCGCCTTCCCGTGGACATGCGGGTTTAGAAGCATCTGCATCGGTAGCAAGTTGGAAAAACCTCTAAATAGTCATGAGGGCTTCCACCACAAGCAAGCGATTTCAAAAAGTGAAGCCATCCGTGCAGCCACGTTGGCTCCTCTTTCCTGCTAGCAGCGTTTTGTCGGAAATCGAAGCTTTCGCGAATGGCCCGGGCGTTCCATGGCTTGCTCGCTGCACTCCTCCGGCAGGCCACACAGGAGGCTGTGCCAGGTGACCTCTTAGGCGACGACGAGTGCCTGGAAAGCTCGACCTGTGCATTGAACGTCTTGCAGATGCGTGGGAAGGCCATGGAAGATGTGGAGGAGGGAAGACAAATGCCGTGGATGATGATGCCACCACATGCGCGATGGCGCATGCGAGAGTACCACCCGCCACCGGTCATGCCGCCGTATATGCGACCAGAGCCTATGGGGCCTATGCCCTACTATTCGCCGGAATCTTACATGCACCCACAGCCTGGGACCTACATGCACCCACAGCCAGTGGAGCCAACGGACATGCAACCTGCACAGCCGGCAGAAGAGCACCCAAAGATGGTGACGAGGCGGGGGCCCGAGCGGTTTTGAAACTAATGGAAGTTATCGCAGGACAAAACTTCGCCACACGTCCCGCAACTTAACATGTCAGGCCCTGGGCAGGGCCAGGCTGGCCACGGAATCACTGCAGCATACTTCCATATTATGCATTTATACTAAGAATCTCCCTTTGCCGAAGCTTTTGTCTCCGGGATGTAAGTTCATTCAATGCAGAACCCTGTAAGTCTGGAGGGAAGGATCGCCCGACATGTCACATCCACAAAAGCCCGTGAACGTTCCGACAACTTCGTGGGACTAGGGTCCGCCTGATCCGTCAAGGGAATTGCTAGCCACATGGTGCCTGCCTTGCCGCTGCGTCATCCTTCCCATTGAGTTCCGTTCGTTCCGTGCAGGCAGGTGAAGTACCTGCCTCTCTCGGCTGTTGGCTGGGGCATGATCGCCGATGACGAAGGCCCAGCTTCTTCTGCATTCCTTGTTTCTCCTTTCCAGTGCGCTGGGTAAAGTTCTGGGGAAGTTTCATGTGGAGATATACGGCCTTTTCGCCGTTCATATCCCGGAGACAGCTAGACCGGGCAAACAGAGAGACTCAGCAACACAAGCCCTCGAATCTAACTGGTTCAATGATCTGAAGCCGGAGCCAAACTTGTTGCATTGCTCACGGGTTTGATTGAAGGACTCTGCAGATGCTCCGAAGCACGCGTGATGGTTCCGGAGTTGCCAAAGATTTTGTGATAGAGGGCACCCAAGCGACCCCAGCGAGGCACTAGGTCGAGGTCGGGAGTAGGTCCTAGTGACCTAGAAAAACTCCAGCCCACGTTGAAGCCGCATGCGAGGCATGCAGATTCGTGAGCTCACATCCAACCTCAAGGGCTGCGAGGGCGAGTGCACCAAGGATGAAAAGATCTGGAGTCGGGTGAGTCGAGCATGCAGATTCCGTGTCTTTGGGTCCGGGGTTCGTGCTCTTGACGGCACGTTGAAGATTTTCGGATGCGGGCCCTGGCCTGAAAGTAGACCCCCCCTCAAGCGTGCAGGCGACTGTCACAGCGACGACAGGCTTTAGTTTGGCTTCTGTGAGTGTTAGTTTGGAGCTCGGCACAGGGAGTGGCCGGGTGAAGCCCAAAAGGACCCAAAGTGGCAATGCTGGAGGCGTCAAATGCAGAGCTCAGGTACAAATGATCCTCAATGCCATAGCTTCGTCTTCTGCATGAACGGAGGTGCATGCTTTCTGTGGCATGCGAAGGCCAACATATCGTAAAGACTGCGATACCGAGAGTGAGAGAGAGAGAGAGAGAGAGAGAGACCTGGCTCTTCCATAACAAAAGGGGAGGGGGCACACAAGGCGCGGCAGACTCCTCCGAAGCCGAAGACCTCAACTTGAAGGGCCAGTGCATCCCAAAGGGCCGATCTCGTTCATGTGAGAACCGGACCCTAGATGCTTCTACGGGCAGGCAGCCGGAGGCGTTCATTTGCGAAAAACAGAACCAGGGACGGAAAGTGCAGGATCACAGTCATCGGAGCCTTGCAGAGGGTGGGTGGGAGTGCTGGGAACGGGGGCTGCTTTAGCCATCCCCAAACCCTTCAGAACGAAAGACAGAGGCAATGAAAGCGTGTTTTGTACCCTCCGAACACACTAGTGTTTCCCAACTTGCTCTTTCATCTTCAGCGTGCAGCAGCAGCAAGCCGGTGGCGCTCTTGATGTGCGTGATGCCTCTCCGTGCTCGTTGCAGTTTGGAACCGACCACGGATCACTCACGCAAAGAGGCTGCTACCTCAAGACTGCGCAGTTCCACACGGGGCAGGAGCCTGTTCACTACAGCATTTCGGCCGAGACAGATAGATGGTACAGTATTGTTTGATTGTTTTCGTTGCATGGTTGTTCACGATTGGGTAGTATTCCAGGTCAATGGAGGTTTTATTAGGTTTTCGATGTTCTGTTTGCGGAGGGCGTATAATAGCAATGCATGCGTTCCGGAGTAAGTTGTTTCTGAGAGGATTTCTGCGCTCTAAACATGCGACTACAAATGAAGGAAGTGTTGCAATCGCTATCCGTGTTGAAAAGCCAGGTGGCTTTTGCTCCACTTACTGGACCCCTGCCGTGGACACCTCGCAGCCATCAGTGAGGCTCCGTTGCGAGTGTAATCTTGTCTCGGACACTCTTCGAAGCTGCGGGGCGACGCTGTGTGTACTATGCCTGTGCGGATTTGACAAGACAGAGATCCCTTCAAGTTTTGGAATGCTCCGAGATTCTGTACTGAAAGTGAGCTGCAACCATTGTCCCACACTGTTGATGCGAAGCTTTGCACACAGAGGTCCAGCACACCAGCAACACCCAAATGAAACTCACTACTGCATGACACCTCAATGCCCGAAGCAGCCAAAAGGCTGGCTCACAGATGCCAAAGGAAGCCGTTGCCTTTGCCCAAAACCTGCAACTCGCGGTCTAAAGTTTCTCGAAACCCGCCAAACCGCCTCGCCTGGAGTGTCCGAGCTGTCAAAGGAAGCCGTAAAAAAGTGTAGAGGACATCAGAGGTCTAAGTCGCTCTGTATAGCATTCACATAGATTGCAATGATGTCTTGTTCTGGAAGCCTCAAGCATTCTCCTACGTAAGCGAGGTTCATGCTGAAGTTGAAACGGTACTTAAGCCCCTTTCCGATGAAAGGCCGACCCTGCCGCCTGCCCCTCGGCGCAGTAGAGCTGATGGGCTGACAGTCAGGGGGTTTTTTGAGGTGATCCCGTGGCAGGAAGTTGAAGTGTGTCTTAGGCCCGAGCCCACTATGCGGGCATTTCCGAAATTTCCTGTCTCCGGATTTGTGGAACTCGGGATCCCCGAGCCGATACGCTTTTCCAGGTTCAGCACGTTGAGGTCAAGCAGTGCGCTAAGGGCCAGGTGACTGGGCTGCGCAAAGCTTGTAAGCCTGTAGTACAGACAAGAGTCGGACTGCTTGTGCCAGATCGACGGGCCATATGGCTCAGGGATGTGAAGTGATTGCGAGAAAAGGGACCCACCACCACCACCACCATACTTAAGTGGACAATGCCTTGCCTCATGTAGGAAAAGAACGCCTCCGCCAAAGCAGGTTGCCATCGATGGAAGCCTTGCAGTAGCTTTCGTGAGAATTCCTTTACCTCAGCTAGGTTTTCCTCCTGCATCCCAGAGTCCGGAGCTCACCCGCCCCCGGGCGTTTCATGATCCTGTTCGGAAGATATGCGCAGCACTCGACTGCCCCAGCTGGATGGGCGCATCATCCGTGCACGCCAGCTGAAAGGACCCGACTCCACAGTCCTTTGCAGCACAAGGTGCCCGAGCCCAGTGGGAGCTGCGTGGCTTCGACTGCACCCGAGCTGATGACCTTCTACCAGTACAGTGCCCCTTGGCCTCATCAAAAGGCCTGGCCTTTTGAGCCCCCCCTCTTGCCTCGCCCTCTGGCGATCTTTGAGCCGAGGCGCAGAAGAAGCAGAATGTTGATGACCGTGTCTGGGAGAACGTGAACTTTGCCGGCCGCACAGAGCACGTGTTTCTCTTTAGCTGAGCTTTTGCTGATGGCGGCCTTACCTGCCTGCCTCTAGCATGGGTTTATGGCTTTTGGCCTGGTGGAATCTGGAACAGAGCATGTCCGGACAAGTCTGAGGCCAACATCGGCGGCGTCATGTTCTACCTACACAACGAGGCCGTCAGATGTCTCAAGCCCTCGTTTTGTCGGAACCATACCTTGGTACATGTATTGCTGCAAAATTGCCTCTCAGGCATTCTGGACATGCGGTCTTGAAGTAGGTGATGCTGTTGAGAGCAGTGTTACCGATTCAGAAGGTCGTGGACAAAGCTGGCGAGATGCGCAATGCGGAGGGAGATCGGACGCCAAAGTTCAACATCGACCGCATCCTTCGCTTCAAAGTGCCGTGATCTAGGGCTAAGTAAAGCTGGCTGCCAACGCTTTGAAGGGCTTCCTTGGTTCAAGACACTCAGGTGACGATGAAGAACCCTGACGCTCTTTGGAAGAAGTACAGGTCGCAGTTTGGGCGGCCCGGCTGAACGGATTTCATCGCCCCTTGCAGAGCATATCTGGCAGAGCTCCAGGGTTTGTGGGCTCGGGATGCGCTAGAACGGAGCTGGAACCGGTGGCGTTGTAACACGAAGTCTGTTTCGGGACCTAGCTCGAAACTGTTTCGGAACCCAGAGACTCCAATATCCCTTAATTAAGGAATATTCCTTATATTATGGTAGGATCCTTAATATGATTTTAGGTATATCCCTTAATTAAGGGATATGGGAGTCTCTGGGAAACCAGGCCCGACCTGCAACAGAAACTGCTGGCAGAACTGTAACAGGAACCCGGGCATCTTGTGTCGGGAACTACCTCTCTAACACAGTTTTGAATTTGCCGACTTGTCCTTTCAAACCCTACTTCGCGACTCGCTCAGCCATGCAGGAGGCAAAAAAACACAGGCCTTGCACTCGCCTCGTTTCGCGCATGCACGGGTTCTGTTGATCCAAGTCCTAGTAAAAGGTTCCAAGACAATATCAAAGGACTGAATACTAAAGAAGCAAGAGAATTAGCAACATACATCTACAAATTTCAGTAATCAATATATATATATATATATATGTAATACACAAATGGCTGGCATTAATGAGCAAGTAAGCCAAAAACTGAATGAACAAATGGAGAAAATCATCCGAGACTTGATAATGCTGAACAGTATTCAGGATTTGGTAGATAACATGGAATATTTAAAGTAGCAAGACAAAAGCAAATTTGCAGGAGGAGGGTGATGTCTTCCCTGTCATTGTTTAAACTTGTCGTTGTGTTAAGATTGGTAATACTGTCATGGAAGGAATACTGTCAATCATCTTGCAGAAATGGATTTAAGCATTGTGACGGTTTTTGCTTTGAACGATGTAAAGCTAAGTTCCTCAATCAAGCTATGGCTCCACAACCGAAACCTGAAAGTCTCAACCCGAAGCCCAGTTTCGGTTTCGCTGTTTTCAGTCATAAGAGCCCCGCCCCAGCTCCTGTTACATGTCCCCCCTAGCTCCTGTCAGTGGTCGGTTCCTGAAACGGGGTTGCCATTATGTCGAGCGCTGGTTCCTGTTACAGCCGTCACCCGAACGATGCATACAGTCGGCGATTCAGTTCCTAGCATCTCAAGGTTGACGAGAGGGCAAGGGGGGGTGGTGGTTTCCCTTCTCATACTAAGAGTTGATTAGTCACAGGGGCTTCGGAGGCTTTTCACAGGAGTCTGTCGGTGCCACCGCGAGTCGCAGAGGGGCGCTGTGCGAAGATGCAAGGCAGTTCATCCAGTTCGACTATGGCCAAGCTACGTTCGGAATGCCAAACCATGTCGAAAAATGCGCCTCGCCCTGGAATTATGTTGACAATTGTGAAGCTCACTTCTGCAGGTATACAAACTCCCTAATTTGGGGAGACAGGCAGGTTGGCTGCTGGCGGTTCAGATTTCAGTGTGGAGCGACAACACTTGCTCCTGAAACTCCGACTGGTCGAGGGGCTGGGCTTTTGAGCGGGCAAGAAAGCACATCGTGCTCGGAAACGTCCGAGGTTTTCTGCGCCCCCCCTTCCTAAAGAAATCAAGCACCGGAATATGCCTTTGAGAGACAATCCCTGATGCTACACAAGCCACAAAGATTAAGGCCCTGAGAACTCCACCCGTCAAGAGTCTGGAACGGTATGGTCTCCGGTGCGGACCCAAGGCAACGAAATTTGGGAGACGATCGGGTACGAGGTGTCTTGCCCAGTGCGATGCATTGCAAAATCGAACACGCCGTTGAGCGACAGGCTTGAAGTCGGCAACGGAAGGCATAGCGGCTATTGCCCCAGTTGCCGCAGGTGGGGTGCCAGCCCAACCCCACGGGCATCTCCGGCTACGATGGAGGCAGGGACTCCGCCAGGAAGGCTGAAAGCTAAGCAGGGCACAGACTTTATATTTGGGCCCCTCTTTAAGATCCTTCCCTCCTGGGAGGCTACTGGACCTCCTGGCCTGGACGCTGCCCTTCCATGCCCTTCTCAGAGCCTTGGTGCACGTTTTGAGTGGAGAGGGCAGGCTCCCGTCTCTCGGCCCAGAGGCACGAAGTGCCGAAGTCATGTCAAGCGCCCCTTCAGGGAGTTGTTCTCATGGCCTGCTCCCGCTACGTTTGTCCCGATTGAGTGTGTTTCTCTTGGTCTGTCCTGCGGCCGAGGCTTTGTGCGAGGAGTTCTTAAGTCGTCTCTGAAAGATTAAGGCATGCTCTGAGCTCTAACAATCCAGAAGCAGAGTAAGCCATTCCCGAAGGGTCACAGGGTCAGCCAGGGTTTGGGTGTCCTAAAAATCCATTCAAGGCTTTGCAGAGGTGTCATCTCAACTTTAGCAGTGGAGCCCGACAGATGCTGGTCATGAGGGTAATCATCCTCAGTTGTAAGGAGGTTTTGGTCTTTTACAGCAGCATGAGCTCAGTAGAATTATGATCAACTCAAACCTTTGGATTTATGATATGGATATATTTTTATACACTCACCTACAAGTCGGACCTCACAGGTATGATCAGGTTGTTGCACCTGTCCGGCCGGCTCAGGACAAGGCGCCTCAGGGCGGATATGCGAAAACCGCAGAGTGCATGGAGAGGCAGCCAGGAGGCTCAACCGCAGAGTGCAGTCGGAAAATTTCCCACGCTCTCCCATCCACTTCCTTGTTTTGCTTGCGTTGCTTCGTGTCTGCATTTCTTCGGAGTCCTACCTATAAGATTGCTTAAGGCCTGCTAAGCAGAAGGGGATCCAGCAGTCACTAGGGGAGAGTGTAGGCAGCAGCCCGACGGCTTGGGGTTGTAGGCGTTCAGCATTGACAGCTCATGGTCTGGTGCTGCCGCTGTTCTAGGAACGAAATGTAAGTTGAGCCTCAGCTTCCTCGTAGGTGTGTAGTCCGAACATTGGAGAGCTTCAAGAGAAGCTTTGACACCCGGAAAATGTGACCACACAACAACAGGTCAGTGGAGCATTAAGTCAGATGCTCAATTTGCTGGCGATTCCTGGCTAGGACTTAGGTACTGGGTGTTCCACTTCGGGGTCCGGTGCAGGTTCCTGCGGGCGGCCGGTGGCTCTGCAAGATTTCAGTATCTTTTGTCTACCCCTCTCACACCCCCGACGTCACGGGAAACGGCCATGCTTCAGCAGTAGACAACCTGGCATACCACTTCTAAAAGGGCAGTGCTCCTTCGTTGTACATGTTCTCGTTGGAAAGCAAGAAGATCTTTATGGTCGAGATGTTTGCGCCATGCTGCATTGTTGTTCCGGCAATGAATGCTGGCATTGTTGACGCTACATGTACTGAGGATGGCGGTGCAACATGCACTTGGCACATTGAGCCTGCAGGACTTGGAAGCACTGATCGCTCGAAGTAAACCCGAGTTTATCTATATCTATATCCATATCTATCTGTATATGTGTGTATGTATATATATATATATATATCTATATATATATATATATATAGAGAGAGAGAGAGAGATGTGTG